CAGCTGTGATCAGGGAATTACTTTGTGAGACTCACCCCACCCGCCTGTGTTAGGCCAAATTAGCATATGTTAGACTGAGTTAGTATAAGCTGAATTAGCATAATTAGCATATGTAGACTAAGTTAGTTTAAGACTAATTTTGCATAAACACCCCTTATTAAGGCTACAGGCCTAGTTGGCTTATGTTAGGCAGAGTTAGCACATCCACCGCCATGACAGGGATTCAAAGATGGGCACTAATTTTTTTTTCTTTAAGAATTATTCTATTTAACTTTATTATTAGTATTATTATTTTACAATATGATCAGAGAGAGACAGAGAAAGAGACAGGGAAAATGAGAAAACAAGCCACCAATTCCAGGACTTGAACCACGGTCGGCCATGTGGGAATCCAGCACCTTTAACCACCACGCCACCTGCTGTCTGAATTCACTAATTAACAGACAGGAATTCAGCAAACAAGATACAGGAACTCGTAAGCTAATAGAGGAAGAGTAGGCTTGGCTGACAGTGACAGCATGAACAAACCTGAAGACTCCAGGGGAAGATTACCTATCTTAACTGAGAGTTCTTATCTAAATTCAGGCAGGCAACATATAGTCCCTAACTAAAGATGGTTTCTTCTCTGTACGCTGTAAACTATGATAAACTGCTAATTTTGTCTCCTAAGCTACAAAACCCTCTCACCTAAAAAAGACTCTCCCAGTAATCAAGATCTAAGAAGAAAATGCACCAGACAAATGGACTCCCTCACCCTGAGGACTGTGATTAACTTCACCTGATCAAACAGAACAGTGCATCATGTTTTATGATTATTGTACCCATACTTTGAATACCTCATTTCTTAGAGTAAATCTTTTACTTCCCTCTAACCCCTCCTGCCCCTGTAAACATCCCTCAATAAATACGTATGTTTCATAGCCACGGATAGCTGCAGTCTTGAGCTTGCTCTGACTGTAGTCAGCTGAAAACATGCTAAATAGCACAGAGGTCTCTGCCTAAGTTTCTTATCACCTGTGTCGCTTTCCAAACATGCTAAATAGCATAGAGGTCTCTGCCTAAATTTCTTATCACCTGTGTTGCTTTCCTATGAGCTTCAACCCACCCCGGCTAGAGCAGGTCTCTGGCACAGGAGGTTCAAATAACATGCTAAATAGCATAGAGGTCTCTGCCTAAATTTCTTATCACCTGTGTTGCTTTCCTATGAGCTTCAACCCACCCCGGCTAGAGCAGGTCTCTGGCACAGGAGGTTCAAAAGTGTTGAGGAGTTCCATGACCCTTATCTGTACTGGGAGTCTAGGAGATGAGGTTTAGAGCATAACTTTTAATTGCCTTGGTCTCAGAATGTACCAGGACAGACCTCAGATTTAGAATGTCTTCCTGGCTGATTGTTTCGGGAGTCTGCTATTTTCTCAGTCTTTGCAGTGAATTTTTCTAAGACAGAGATTCTGTTTTCTACATCTGAGATTCAATCTTTTACATGGACTAATCTGCTTTTAATACTTTCGAGGGAGGTTTTGATTTCCTGCTTTGCAGGCTTCATTTCTAACAGCTCCATTTGCTTCATTTTTATGGTGTGTATTTCCTCTTTCAGATGCAAGAACTTCCTCACCTGCTGAAACTCATTGTCTCTTTGCTCCTGCATCTTCAAGAATTTGTTGTCTTGCTTCTCTTGAATCTCTGTCAGCTTTGTCAATGAATATTCTAAATTCCTTTTTTTTTTTTTTGGAGAGGTTTTTGCTATAGGGCTTGTGCGCTCCCCAGAAGGACAGAGAGAGACAGAGAGACAGAAATCACTCCCCAGGGGGGATGGCCACGCCACAATCCCTTCTCCTCCATTCTCCTCTTGGGATCTTGGGCATGCATGCACATGCGCCCAGCATGAGTTTAAGCCACTGGGTCTGGGACTCAAACCACGGTCAACTTCATGGGAGTTCAGCAACATAGCCATTATGCTAACTGCTGGTCCCACAATATTCTAAATTCTTTATCCAACATTTTCACAAGTTCCACTATGCTGTCTGTGGATGATGAGAAGTTGTTCTTTTCCCTGGAGGGAGAGATATTTTCTTGGTTTCTCATATTGCTTGTGTCTCTGTGGTGGTGGTGATTTCTGGTCGGTCACCTGATGGATTGTACCTTTCTTCCTAATTTCTTGAAGTTCAGTCCTTGAGTCTGAGCACTCAAGGATGTGCAGGTGGAGGCGATCTGCAATTTCTCTACAGTTCTGTTTTTCTTCCTTTGTGCAGCAGATTCAGTAGGAATAAGAGATTATTCTGACCCTAAGAGTATTCAGATGTTTGGCTACTAGGCACCTACACCTGTCTAGAACTCGGTGTGTGGAAGCTGAGCAGCAAAGTGATAACGGTAAAAAGGAAAAGGAAAAGAAAACAAAGAAGCAAAAAGAAGAAAACAAAGAAAAAATAATAAAAAATTATTTTTTAAAAAAGTAAATAATGAAAACTGCACCACACAGAGTCCTCACAGCTCAAATACAGATATGTTCTCAAAGGGCCTGCGCTATTGCCTCTCCTAAATGGGAGAAGGGAAAGGTGAGAATTAGCAAGATAAAGGAAGATTAGACAGCCAAGAAAATACTTTACATTTAAAAAATAATTTAAAAAGTTAAAAAGAGAGAGGCAAAGATAAGAATACAGAGGGTGTCCTACCACCCTAGATTGGGATCTGGAGGGTGAAGTCAGCAGAAAATCGTCAGTTGTCCTAACCCCTGAAAGGGATTCCTCACAGCTCAAATACCTTTAAGGAAGAATTTTAAGTCATTTCTTCTCAAACTCTCAAAAAAACTGAAAAGGAGATAACATTTCCAAATTCACTTTACCAGACTAGAATTATAGAGAAATCAAAGCCCAATAAGAATTGTAAGAGAAAAGAAAATTACAAGCTGTCATCTTTGAAAAACATAGATGCAAAAATATTTTTGAAAAATACTAGCAAACTGAATTCAAAACAGCACATTCTAAAAATCACACAGCATGATCAGAGAGAATTTATCTCTGAGACACAAGGGTGGCTTATATATGCAGACCAATCAATGTAATGTGTCACATTAACGGAATGAAAGATAAAAACTATATTTTAATCTCAGATATGAGAAAAGTATTTGACAAAATTTAATATACATTCAGGATAAAAAAACTTTCAACAAAGTAGGTAAAGAAGGATTATACTTGAACATAGTGAAGGCGGTATATCGGGCCAGCTGGTGGTTTGGTGGTTGGGGTGACTGGATCCCACATAGCTGACTTCACAGTTTGAGTCTTGGCTTGAAAAGCACACCGGGTGCATGTGTGTGCCCAAAATATCAAGAGGAGATTGTAGGAGAAGGGCCATGGTCATCCCCCCTGAGGTGTGATTTCTTACTTTCCCTCTCTGTCTTTCAATCTGTCTGTTTCTGCTGATCATATGTGTCCTATAGCAAAAACTAAAAGTAAATAAATAATAAATAAATGCCATATATGATAAGCTCACAGCTGATATGGGAAGGTAGAGTGTGTGGGCCCAATATCCAATGTAGGAACTGCAGCAAACCTGCTTCTTTGTCTCACATTCACAAAGAATTAGAGATACAGACACAGAGAGGGATAGTAAAACAGAGTTTACTGAAGGAGAAAACAACTCCAGGCAGGAAGGGATCCTGGAAAATGGGTTGCTACCAGGTGGTTTGAATCTCAGTTTATATCCCATCTGAGAGAAACCTATATCTGCATTTCCCTCACATGTCTCATTAGTCATGCTATAATTTTGGAGTGGGGCTCATAGGTTGTGAGATCCTACATAATGGAGACTGATTTTGTAATTCTTTTGTCTAGAGCCTTTTCATCTACAGAAAGCCATTCTCTCAGTTAACTTTGAGGAGCTGTTAATATAGGTCTTGGAATTTGCTCCATGAAGTAGGAAACTCTTTCCTTGCTCTGGTCTCTGATACAAAACATTTTCATTATCCATGTGCCCTGAACTGTAAGAACTGGTTTCTGTCATTTAGCCCCACAGCAAAGAATCATAAATTCTTTGAGGTCTGGAAAGAGGTGTATATTGTAATTTAGGTTAAACTTTCTACTAAGACTGGAACAAAGAATGGATGCTCGCCTTGGTGATTTCTATCTAGCAGAGTACTAAAAATCCTACTCAAAGCAAATGACACGAAAAAGAAATAAAAGACTCCAAATCTAAATTCAGAAATGACTTGTTTTTCTACACACTCACACAAACTACCTAAGAAAGAAAGAAGAAAAACAATCCATTTCCAAGAGTGCCGGAAAGAAAAAATACTTAGAAATAAGTTTAGTCAAAGACTCAAAAGACCTGTACATTGAAAACCATAAACTATTGCTAAAAAGAACTAAAGAAGACACGAAGCAATGGAAAGTTACCTAGTGTCCACATATTGGAAAAATTAACATTAAAATGCCCATATTACCTAAGTTGTTTACAGATTTAATGTAATGCTTATCAATATTGCAATGGCATTTTTCACAGAAAAAGAAAAAACCCTAAATGTCATATGGAATTATATACAGAGGTTGTTTGTTTGTTTTTTCTCTAAAGACTCCAAAGCAGTTTTGAAGAACAACAAAGCTGGAAGCATCACAGGTCCTGATTTCAATATGCATTACAAAAATACAGTAATCAGAACTGTGGTACTGATATAAAAACAGCCACATTTCCATGGACATGTTCCATTCATAAGTAAATCTCCTTCCTCTCGCAAACTGACTTCCTTAGCATTTCACAAGAAATATCACTCCAGCCCCATTGCTGGAATGTAGAATGAAAATGTACTACAACACAACGTTCAGTAGGATTATTGGCTTCCCCTGGGTGCCAGAATCTGAAAGAGATAGAAGATGAAGGCATTTTTTTTAAAATAGTGCTTTGAAAGGGTGAGAGGCTATCAGAGACCAAAGATTAAACAGTGGTACCTGAATACCAAGGTCAGATATAACCAAATTCCTCCTCCTCCTTTCTCCTAACACATTTATAAAACCTTCATGTTCAGGCACTTTCTCCCCCACCTGTATCTCTGGCATTTCTCAGGAAAACTTTCCACATGACTCAGTGTGCTGGCATCTTCAGCATCTCAGAACACATTAGACATCCTCCCAGCAAATATGCCACAGGATTACTAATAATTTCCCATCCTTATGTCCTATGCCATGGAATTACAAGTCGCACAGAGTTTCCTCAAATGGTTCTAAGATTTCCTTCTGCTCCCAAGGATAAATACAATTTATTTCCTTTTTTTGCCAATGCACTGATTTTAGAGTCAGAACTAGGTAAATTTTCTGTATCAGCTACTTTTTTTTGGAGAGGTTTTTGCTATAGGGTGTGTGCGCTCGCCAGAAAAACAGAGAAAGACAGAGAGATAGAAAGTGAGAAATCATCCCCCAGGGGGATGGCCACACCGCAATCCCTTCTCCTCTATTCTCCTCTTGGGATCTCAGGAATGCATGCACATGCACCCAGCGTGAGTTTAAGCCAGTGGGTCCCGGACTCCAACCGCGGTGGACTATGTGGGAGTCCAGCAACATAGCCATTATACCAACTAGTGACCCCCTGCATAGCTACTTAGCTTCCTATTATTTTGGCAAATAAATTACTTTCTCTGATTCTCTGTTTTCTAGTTTAAAAAGGGTGAGGAGACTAGAACAACATTCCTTTGTCTTTCACTTATCTATAAAAATGTCAAATGAATGCTAAACTATTTTAAAGATATAAAGAACTACATAAAGAAGAATTATGATAAAACTGAGAGATTTAACATTTTTGCCTTATAAAATATTAAATCTATTCATTGATTATGCTCTTACTTGACATGATTTTTTGCTGTTTTATTTAGAAACATAAAGTTAAAAGCAGATATTGATGGGGGCCAGTAGGTGGCATGACAGCGAAAGTGCTGGGCTTCCACATGGCCATCCACAGTTTGATTTCTGGACCAGGTAGCTTGGAGATCATGCCAGGCATGTGTGTGTGCCCAAAATCATAAGAGGAGAATGGAGGAGAAGGGATTGTGTTGTGGCCATTCCCCAGGGGAGTGTGATTTCTCTCTTTTTCTCTCTCTGTCTCTCTCTGGTGAGCACATGTACCCTATGATAAAAAACCTGACCAAACAAAAAAAGGAGAGAGAGAAGGAAAAGAAAAAAGAAAAAGGCAGACATTGATGTCAAACCTAGATTTTTACAAAAAAAAAAAAAACCTGTTGTTGGATTTTTTGTTTTGTTTTGTTTGTTTTGCTTAAAAACTGATAGACAAAATATCCTAAATTCCCTACATAATCCAGGACCCCGGAATCCTTTATCTAATTGCATACTCACGAGATATTTTCACTGTATGGCGTCTGATCCACCCATTGCCAACGTCTCTGACCCTCCGGATCTGACAGCCCCACATAATAAATAGAACCCACATCCAGAGTCTTGATGATGAACTCCTGAAGGAAGAAAAGGAAATTAGTCTTTAGAATATTCAACTTAAACCAGCTCTTTATGACCTTAGGAAACTGCAGATCTAGGAACATCTGCACGGAAGTCGCATCTCAGAGTGGGGGACTTCTCTGCTGAACAGGGCAGGGTCAAACACGTCTCTGTGAGTATGACGCTCCGTATATGTAGAAGCCAGTGCTATGAACAAACTGGCCCTGCCGGGACCAGCAGATCGTGTACTGTTTACATTGCTGGACTCTTGTGTAGTCAACCAGGATTCGAGTCCCGGGTCCTGGACCTAGTGACTTGAAACTCATGCCAGGTGTGTGTGTGTGTGTGTGTGTGTGTGTGTGTGTGTGTGCCCAAAATCCTGAGGGGAAGAGAATGCAGTGGCCATCCCTTCTGGGGGGTGATTTCTCACTTTCTGTCTCTGCCTTTCTGGCAAGCACACATGCCCTACAGCAAAAATCTCTCTTTAAAAAAATGGCCTTTCTTTCTTTACTGAGATAGCATTCTTTAAAGTTACACATGAGAACTTTAAGGAATGCTCTCTTTAATAATTTAATCATTTTTCCAGAGCTTTATATATTTTAAAATTTCCTTTCTGATTACTGATAGTGACTTTTCATGTTTTTATTTCCTTTCCTATTCAATCTAACACTCTTCTCTGTTAAGTAGTTAATAATTTATGAAACATTTACATGCTGGAATAACAAGTTGGTATTTTAGGCTGAAGCATACTTATCTTCTCACCCAAACTGCACATGTTTATCATTGATAGATAGATAGATAGATAGATAGATAGATAGATAGACAGACAGACAGACATATATAAAAGGATGTAATTTTGTTTCTTTTGTTTTGGGGCTATTTTTCTTAGGTTTTTGCTATAGACCACATATCCTACCTGGAGACAGAGTGAGACAGAGAGACAGAACGTGAGAAATCACCCCCCAGAGGGAATGGCCATGCTGCAGTCCCTTTTCATCCATTCTCCTCTCAGGATATTAGGCATGCACTCACATGCACTTGGAGTGATTTTCAAGCTGCCAAATCCAGGGCTCAAACTGTAGTCAGCCATGTTGTGGGAATCCAGTGTCTGAACCACCATGCCACCTGCTGGTCCCCACATGTTATATTTTTAATGCCGCATTTCTTTTGGAGGAGGTTAGTTTCACTGAAGCAGGAAGAAGTAGAACAGAAAGGTTTAGGGGACTTTTCTGACTGTTATATTGAATGCCATCTGTCTGAGCACCACTCTCCCAAAACAAGGAAAGCCTCCTTCTTGATCAACCAAGACACACAGCAATTAGACAGGGTTCCTGGCTCCATCATCTGTCAGAAAGTACCTGCTCAGCCTTGGAGTTAATCACCAGCAGATGAGCCCCCATTCCAGAGCAGTTCTCTTTACTCTTACTCCAGGATTTTGTTTCAGTCGAAGCAAGGTAGCAGCTGGAATCAAATGACTTCCAGTCCTTTGGGCAGCAGCTCCAGGCTTTCCCTATATTGGGAGGAGGGGCATCTAAGTGCAATATAGAAGATCATTTTATAAGTGTGTGCATTATTAAAATTAAGGACCAATGGAGACCTTATGGGAGTTGGAACTCCCATTCCCATCCAATGTCACAAGGAGACAAGATTTTTCCTCAGATATCCAAGAAGCCATGACTACTTCTACCATGCAGTAATAAGGCAGGACCCCCTGTCTCCTACAAGCATGACATTGGGAAACCCACCCAAAATATCATGTTAAATAAGATCCAGATTCTGTGAACACAATACAAAAATGTTGAGGGATCAACATAATAATAACTCTTTATACCAAAGTCTAAGGACTCTTCAAATTGGTTAAGACATAAAAACCAGGGGTCAGCAAGTGGTACAGTAGGCACTGGACTCCCATGTGGTTGACTATGATTTGAGTCCTGGTGGTATGTGTGTGCATGCATGCCCAAAATCCCAAGAGGAGAACAGAGGGTAAGGGAGTGCAGCGTGGCCATCCCCTTGGGGAGTGATTTCTTGCTTTTTGGCTCCTTTGCTCTCTGACTAGCACATGAGCCCTATAGCAAACAATCTCAAAAAGAAAAAAATATATACATAAAAACCAACAGAGGCTTACAATCAAGATAAAATATGTTAGATTACATGGAAGATTTTAAAGTGGCCATGACAAAATGACTTAACAAGAAGATCCAAACATGATTGAAGCACAGAAAAAAAAGTAAAAAGACTCCACAATGAAACAATAGATACAGAAAATAATTAAAGGACAATTTTATAACCAAACAATAAAATAAGCAAAATAAGTTCAGTGGATAAGCTGAAGAGCAGAACAGAGGGATCAGAAAAGTCAATGACTTGGAAGTCAGAACAATAGGAATTAATCACTGAACAGCAAAACAAAAGAACATAAAGTCTCACACACTGAACCTATGTGTATATATGACGAAGCTGTGAACAGTGGAAGTAAAAACTGGCAAAACTGCAAGGAGGAGTTGACAAATTGACAATTATGGGGAAGACAGTAATACTCCTTCCTCTCTCAACAACTACATAGAAAAATCTGCAAAAATATAGAACTCAGAACATCACCAGTCAGGACCTAGTCAATGTTTATGGAACACTACATCCTACAACATAATACCCACTTTTCTCAATGACCATGGAACATATAGCAAGATAGACCATATCAAGAGGCATAAGAAAAGCCTCAACAAAGTTAAAACTATTGACATCATATACAGCACATTTGCAAAGCAGGGTGGAAGCCAACTGACAATGAAACAAAACAAAACAAAAAATAGGGAAATCTTCAAACATTTGAAATGAAACAACACACTTCTAAATAATCTATACGTCTAAAAAAGTCTCATGAAAAATATAAAATATCTTGAACTGAATGAAAATAAAAATATAACATATCAAAAATTGTGGGATACTATTCTTTAATATAGGAAATCAAGACTTGGGACAGAATATGTGCAATATGATCTTGGAACATTGTATAACCCTAGAACTAAGGAACTAAAAGGCACATTGATGGTGATTCGTCAAACGGGCACAGAAGCCAAGTGTTTCCACTGGCCAAAGCTGGAAAACAAAATGAAGTCGCATTGTATTATAATCTACAGTATAAAATAAACCTCTATGAGTATGTGCAGATATAAATAAATGATAAAATAAATGTATAAATATGATAGTAAAAAGAGATGAGTTTCACAGGCCCAAGAATTTCAAATAAGTTCTGTGGATGCTTGAAATGGTAATTCTGTGTCAATGTATCCAGGCCACAGTGTCCAGGTAGCCAATCGAACATCTTAGATGTTTCTGTGAAGATGTTTTTGGATGAGATTGAAAATGGTGACATTTGAATGAAGTCGACAGCCTTACATAATATAAGTAGGGTTCGCCTGTTCAGTTGATAATTTAAATAGAACAAATAAATGGCCTTTCTTGACCAAAAGAGTTCTCTAACAGACTATCTTAGGACTTTACCTGCAGATGGGAGCTTTTCCTGATTCTGCTGCAGCCTGTCTTTGAACCCAAACTGCAACATTTTCTTTCCAGCTCACCAGTTGCTCCATTAAATGCAGGCATTCTCAAACCTTCATTGAATGAGCCAATTCCTTAAAAAATAAATGTCTTTCTAAACGCATATCCTATTGATTCCATTTCTGCAGATAATCCTAACTAATAAACTACTCCACCCTAATGGATGGGGAGCATAATGGCTCAATCTTCGAGTAGGCTACTCATACCAATTTTCTTCCACTTAAACTTAATATGAAGAACAGAGAAAAAAAGTGACTTTAAAATGGACAAACACTGCAAACACTGCCTTAGCCATGTGACCAAGGTCAATATCAACAGCCAAAAGTCATTATTAGAGCACATATCCCTGATAATGTGATGGAAAGAGCATTTATTATCTGTGATCCTCCTCCCAAAACCAATAACCTCGGTCTAACAATTAGAAAAATGACAGACAAGTCGTAACAGAGGAACGACCTATAATATCACTGGCCAGTAATTCTCAAAACTGACGAGGTCGTCAAAACCAAGAAAAGCCTGAGAAATTATCAGAGACAGAAAGAGCATAGACGAGACATGTAATACAGTACCTCGATGGGGTGTCAAAGTGAAAAATAACATTAGGTAAAAACTAAGAAAATTGGAAAAATTGCGACCAGCGGATGGCAAAATGGTTATGTTGCTGGACTCCTATGTAGTCACCCTGGATTTCAGCCCAAGGCCTGGTGACTTAAAACTCACACCAGGCACATGTGCATGCATGCTCAAAATCCTGACAGGAGAATGGAGGTAAAGAGACTGCAGCATGGCCATCCCCCGGGGGTGGGGGGTGTGGTGATTTCTCACTTTCTGTCTGTCTCTCCAGTGAGTGCACACACCCCTATAGCAAAAACCTCCCTAAGGAAAAAAAAGAAAAGAAAATCGGAAAAATTATAAATTGGATTTATTATCATTAATTAATATTGGCTCATTAGTTTTAATAAATGTATCATACATATATAAGATGTTCATCATAGGGCAGCAGTCGCTCACCTTCCCAGCACCAAGGTCTAGCATCATGAAAGACAGTCCCTTTATGGATGGGGGAGAGTGAGGATGCTGGTTCCAAGATGATTCAAGCAAATCACACCCACTGTGCACCCATTTCCACACTACCACCACCATAATGCAGCATTGAATGCAATAATCACACAACGATAGGGTTCATGCTCTTGTGAATGTCCAGTATCATCACTGACCGAACAGGAGGTGGAACCCAGACGGCAATGCGAGCAGTAGAGAGCAGCTGCAAACGCAGACCAAGTCAGGCTAGCTCACCCGCCACCACCCACCCCTGCATGGCCCAGCAGGACCTGCACCAGTCCATGACTTGTCTCCAACAGGCCATGGGCCAGCATTGGTCTGTAACACCAGGTGTGGGGTTCTTGTCATAGGGGGACACTGCATGTGGAGAGTGGAAGTCGAATGGAATTTCTTTGTATTAACTGCTGGATTATCCTGTAAATATAACAGTGTTCTTAAAAGTAAAAATCTAATCATTTTTAAAATGTAAAGAATTTGCAGTCATAATAAAACCATCATCATCATTTTCATCAAATGAAAATGGACCCATGAGAAAAAGAGCAAATGTGTACTCAAAGTTGGGAAAGAAGTGAAGGTTGAAGAAAGCCAAAAGAAGTCTTTTTCATAATTAAGCTTGATTTTCTTTTTTCTTTTCTTTTTTTTTTTTTTTTTTTGAGAGGTTTTCGCTATAGGGCGCATGCGCTCGCCAGACAGAGAGAGACATAGAGACAGAAAGCGAGAAATCACCCCCCAGGGGGGATGGTCACGTTGTAATCCCTTCTCCTCCATTCTCCTCTTGGGCTCTTGGGCACGCACGCACACGTGCCCGGCGTGAGTTTAAGCCACCAGGTCCGGGACGCAAACCGCAGTCGACTACATGGGAATCCAGCGACATAGCCATTACGCTAACTGCTGGTTCCCAAGCTTGATTTTCTTGCAGAGACAAATTAAAGGTGTACATATAAGAATTTCAGGTCCTGTGAATTTGTACACTTGTAGTTTATTATGATCATGAGATTCAATATCTTAGTATGATCTTCTTGGGAATCTTACTGGAAAGATTCATTTGGGGTCCTTACATACATATGCTCAGCCAGCAAATAAATTCTTGCTACATTAACTTTTACCTTCCGTAGTCAAATTTATTTTTGCACACTCCAATTTTGTATGAATCAGATCTTCTCTAGTACTTTTTTCTTTCAGACACTGAGATTTTTGAACTAAAACTGGAAAAGAGAAAAAAACATTATTCATTTTCCTGGAGCATTATGAATTAATTCTTGATACTTTTTAAATATTTTCATACAAAAAAAAATCTACAAGTGTCCAATTACTTTACTGCATGGATCCTTACTGGAGTAGATCTCACATCACTTCACAGTGTATTCTTAATATTACTGATTTTAAAAGCATAGATATCTCCAGGAATTTCCAACAGATCTGTATTTGAAATAGAATTTGACAGTTCATCATAATGAGCCTCAAGGGAATTATCCATATACTTCTTCCGTATTCCCCTTCCATATTCCCTGTGAAATGCGCACCAATCCTAAACCTTGTGATGGGGACAGAGTGGAGGACAGTCAAATTACTTGTATTTAAGGATGTACACAGCCTGGGACTTTCTAGGGAAGAAGGCTTAGCTAATTCTGAGAAGTTCTGGATTATCTTGGAGAATGGAGAATGTGAAAAAGAACCTGGGCCAGCCTTGTTGCCTGATGGTTAAGAGAACCAGATCCCACATGGCCGGGTCATGGCTTGATACCAGCCCCAGTGCCTTGAAAGATATGCCAGGCATGTGTCCACGAGTGCCTCTCAAATTCCAATGGGAGGAAGAAATGGAAGAGAAGGGATTGAGACATGAGCATTCCCCCATTGGGAAGTGTTTCTGTCCTCTCCCTCTCTCTCCATCTCTTTGCCTTTCTCTGTCTCTCTGAATTTAAAACTCACCCACATCTCCCACGATAAAATACATTTTTTCTTTCAAAATTAACTCCCATTTTCTCCTTGACGTTCTTGGTTTGCTTCTACTACTTCACTAAAACCATCGTTGAGAGGGCCAGCAGGTGGCATGATGATTAAAACGTTGGACTCCCACATGGCTGGCCACAGTTCAAGTTCGGGACCTGGCAACTTGAAACTCACACCAGGCAAGTGTGCATGCATGCTCAAAATCCCAGGAAGAAAATGGAGAAGAAGGGATTGGGGCATGGCTCTTCCCTTGAGGGGGGGTGATTTCTCACTTTCAGTCTCATCATTTCTCTCTGTCTCTGTCTCTTACTGGTGAATGCATGTGCCTTATGGAAAAACCTTTAAAAAATTCTTGAAATCAATCATCAATGACATCATAGGGTCACTTATTAGTCATCTTCCTATATGATCTATTGCAATACTAGACACCAGTTCTCCTTTCCCCTTATCACTTAGGACACGTCTCTTTTCTGTTTTTACCTCACCTTTCTTGCTACTGCTTCTTACGCTCCTTTCTACGCTTCTCTTCCTTCATCTAGTTCTTCTAAAGTGTATCGTTTCCCAGACTTCTATTCTTACTCCTCATACGAAACACGCACCTTGAGTGATATATACTCACTTGCTATCCGAAAGTGAATGACTTCCAAAGCTCAGACTTTTTCCCTAAAATCCACAGAAATATGTCTCCCACTAAATCTCTCCATTTAAGGTTCTCACATTCATACTGAGGACAGAAGTCGGACTTTGTTTCCCCCGCCCCCGAAATTTCTTTAAGAGGCTTGGAGGGAGTAGAAAGCGAGAAATCACACCACCACCACCACCACCACCCGCCCCCAGGGAGGATGGCCATGCAGCAATCCCTTCTCCATTCTCTTATTGGGATCTTGGGCTCACACATTCGCACTAGTAACAGACCATTTTGACAAGTTGGTAACAGGATTTTTTATTAAATGTTTTGTCTTTGGTATAGTACTGTTGTGGTGTATATTAAGGATCTTTATTTTTGTTAAAGTTTTTTTTTTTTTTATCTCAACAACTTCTTTTTTAATTACTAACTTAAAATCTGTAAAACCCACCTAGAAGTACCCACTTTAACATGTTTTACCTTTTTTGGGCCAGATCAATGGAAAAATGCTTTATTAATTTTCAAACTCTGTCTCTCACTCTGAAAATTAAATAAAAGAAATCCCTGTACCTGGTCATCCGAGAAAGATATGTTTTTCCTCCTCTCCAGGCCTAGATCACTCATATTCTGCTTAGAAATAAACCTCATTAATTATTATTTTTGCAGAGTTGGTTACTTCCATTGACAGAAATGAAGACCACGGAGGGACCAGACAAACTAGAGATCTTCTGAGGGGTCACTTCAAAAACCTGGTGCCTGGTACTCACACAGTGAGCCCTTCATGCCCTCTCCAGCTCCAAGTCTCTCCTCGGGGGAGATGCTATAAGTTCTCTGGCCCCAGAACTCCCAAAAATTTAGTAAACAGTCTGGTTTAATTTGTTTGTGAGTGGCCCAGTTTTCTCCCCTCAGGCGAAAGGGTAACAGTTTTCTCCTCCCAAAGAGGTAGCAATTTGCTCCCCTCCTAGGGTAGTGGTTTACTCCCCTCAGACCAAGGGGTAACAGATTTCCCCCCTCCAAGTGAGGGGGTAGCAGAGTTAAAAAAAAAATGTATGAAGGGGCATTCCAAAGAATCTTCCTCTTCTGCTGTCTTAAAACTGCTTCAATTGCTGTGCATTTGCACTAAAAAAAACCCACAAACTGTCCTATAAATAAAAAAATAAGAGACTGAGCCTCTCAGTTCCAAAAATAGAGAGCGCCTGTCCCTCCCTACAGGTAAACACCCCAGGCAACTGGTAGCCATACAGAGTGTCTGAAAAGGGGAGGATGATTTCCCCCTCTTAAGGCTAGCAGCGATCCCATAGGAAATTCCAAACACAATCATTAAAACGAGCCCATCCAATAACCATAAAATAGGAACTGACCACTCGAGCATTTGGGGGCGTCTTCAAGAGAGCTAAATTCTAAAAAAAAAAAAAAAAAAAAAAAAGAAAGAAAAAAACTGCGACCAATAAGATGAATTGATCTCAACCGAAGAGTGACATCAGTAAAGAGATGCTCAGAACAGCAGCATGCTGGTCCACCACATTAACATTCTTTCTGAGAAAGACATGTTATGCATCCTCTCCAGGCCTACACCATTCATACTCTGCTTAGAAATAAACCCCATTGGGGCCAGTAGTTAGCATAATGGCTATGTCGCTGAACCCCCATGTAGTCGACTGTGGTTCAAGTCCTGGACCCAGTGGCTTAAACTCACGCTGGGCTCATGTGCGTGCCCAAGATCCCGAGAGAATAAATGACTGCAGCAAGGCCATTCCCCCTGGGGCTGATTTCTTGCTTTCTGACTCTGTCTCTCTGCCTCTCTGGCAAGCGCACGCGCCCTATAGCAAAAACAAAAACAAACAAAAAGAAAAACAAACAAAAAAAAACTCTCCAAAAAAGAAAGAAAGAAAGAAAGAAACCCCATTAATTATTATTTTTGCAGAGTTGGTTATATCCATCAACAAAAAAAGAACACTAAACAAACACACAACTTAAATCACCATCTTCTATCACAAACCTGCTACTCATCCTATATCGTTTAACCCATTGAATAATTTACGAGTGCTGAGCCTACCAAGTCAGAATGATGGAGCCACCATTTAATTCTCTGGGTCCCTTATTCTCAAAACCTAAATTCGAGACTCTACCCCCTTGGTTCTCTCCCCTTCATCATTCAAAGCTACTTCCTCTCCTCGTTCTTCATTAACACTAGTCTTACAGCAGGCTGTTTCTCAATTGTAGTAATGAATTTGACTTCTAAATCTCTCTTTGCCTCCGTATTTACTCTTACTTATTTTACACACTGGTTATATCAATTCTCTGCATAAATTCCTCAGTGGGTTTCCATGATTGCGACACACTGAGAAAATGGGGACAAGTTTCAGCCCTCCTGCACCCAACCCCTTTGCAACGTGGCTTTGGAGCCTCTCTTATCAAGAAATGGGGTTTGTTTCTCCACCACGTGAATGTGGGATGCATCTAAGATTTCCTTGACCAACTAACTGTGCAGAAACAACTCTGGACTAGCCCAAGTTTGTACTTCACCCCTTACCTCATTACTTCCTATCTTTCTTAGAAATCTGCAGGTTTCTGTATAAATAAACAACAGGCTAGCCTGAGGAACGCTGAGAGGAATGTGACCGAGTCGTCCAGCTGACTTCCTCTTCCTCAGATGCTGAGTCACCTGTGACCGGCACTTGACCGTTACCCATGAGTACAACCAGGACCAGAGGAGCCCATTGAGAGAACTCTAAATTTCCAAGCCCCAGAATCATGAGTTAAATAGAGAGCTGTTATTTTCATCCACTAAATTTTAGATGAACTTATTAAGCAGCAAAAAATAAGTGACAAAATAACTTTTAGGGAAAAAAAAAAATCCAAACTCTGGAATGGTGCATCACACTCTTCAGGATCTGAGACCTGTTTATTTATCCCATCTACAAATTCATTTTTTTTTCTTTCTTTTTTTTTCCTCTTTATTAATTTTTTCCTTTTCTTTCTTTCCCTTTCTGATTTCCAGAAGGTGTGTACACTTAACAGAGTGAAACTGAGAAAGAGGGAAAGTGAGAACTGCCCCACCCCACACCTTGAACCATGACCAAGCCATAAACCGTTCTCCTGCATCTCTCTTAAACCACTGGGATTTGGGGCACGTGTGCACACATGCCCAGAGTATTTCTAAGCCACTGGGTTAGGCTCAGTAGTTGGCCACATGGAATCTAGTCACCTCACCCACTTTGCCACCAGCTAGCTCTTATCCCACCTACAATTTATTTCCTAGTTTGTTACTAACACTGTATGTTCCAGTCATGCATATTTCTATTGTTCCAGTTTTTCATGCTTTCTTATAGCTCTACGTCTTCTTGGTATACATAGCTATTGATGTCACCTCCTCTGGGAAGCCCGTCTCAACTTCCCATGCTTACTTTTACCAGCACCACTGCATCGTTTAACTCTCCCCTAACGTTCTTGAGACCAGGAACTGTGCGACTCTGTTTGGTCTCTGTGTCCGGCACAGTGCCTGACATATAGGAAATGGCCTTTACTGCTTATTGAATGATTAAATGAATAAATAAAATATCTGCTCAAATTTGTGAGTCTTTTCATGTCTTTTAAAACTTGGTAAATTCACACGACCAGCAGTTGGCGTAATGGCTATGTTGCTGGACTCCCATGTAGTCAACTGCCATTTGAGTCCCGGATCCAGTGGCTTAAACTCACATCAGGTGCATGTGTGTGCGTGCCCAAGATCCCGAGAGGAGAAAGGATTGCAGCATGGCCATCCCCCTGGGAGGTTATTTCTTGCTTTCTATCTCTCCGTCTCTGTCTTTCTGGCAAGCACACACGCCCTATAGCAAAAATCTCTCAGAAAAAAAAAAAAAAAGGTAAATTCTGCCATAGGGCAGGCACCACCGCACCCAAAAAGCTTTGTAAATTCTGAAGGCCAAAGATATGTAGGAATTTACTTATTTTCTTAATTGGCTTTTAGATCTTATACGTTTTGGGCAAGACAGAAATAATTAGAGTCTTATTCAATTAACTCTTCCTGGAATATTTCCTCTTATCTCTTCTTGTCCACTTGGTCACCCCAAAATATGTCTGTACGCTTAACTAGGACCAGACTTAAAAGGCTCTAGGGAAATATAGATGTGTCCTACACAGTATCTAGTAGAGAGATGATGCCTTGTAGCGAGATTCACTCTACAACACAAACACATATAGACATATTATTTAATTTTTATAGGGGAGTGACTAAATCCAATAAACAATAAAATTCTTTTTTTTTCTTTTTTGTTTTAAATCAACCCTGGGTTGGTTTGATTTTTTTTTGGAGAGGTTTTTGCTATAGGGCATGTGCGCTCGCCAGACAGACAGAGAGAGACAGAGAGATAGAAAGCAAGAAATCACCCCCTAGAGGGGATGGTCACGCCACAATCCCTTCTCCTCCATTCTGCTCTCGGGATCTTGGGCAGCACACACACACACGCAGCGTGAGTTTAAGCCACCCGGTCTGGGACTCAAACTGCGGTCAACTACGTGGGAATCCAGCGACACAGCCATTACGCTAACTGCTGGTCCCAAACAGTAAAATTCTTATTTAATTACATAAATTATGTCTCCCTAGAGAAACTTCCTTTTCAGATTTCTGGATAAATTCATCATTAAAGGTCCATTTCTAATGGATATCTTCTTTTGTGTGTAAGGCAGACATTGCTCATTGACTTAGCAGGCATACTTACTGATAACAGCGATAAAGAATGATTTTGCCAGTAGCAGAAGAAGTATCAGCAATGAAGCAGATACTTTATTGGACAAACCACAATAACTTTTGTGAGGAATGGTCTCTTCCATGGACACTGAGGAGAAATAAAATTAGTTTAATCTTTATTAAATTCTGCCCTTATTTCCTCTTTTTTCCTTCTCTTCTCCTTTTTTGGGGATGACATACAATAACAAATGGTATTATTTGACATTTCCAGTAATACGGAAATAGGAGTAGCAAGGAAAAGTAATGTTCATTGTAGAAACATGTATTCCTACAAGAGTATAAGGCATATAAACCTTTAAAAGATAGCTCATTACATCTTTAGGATAAGGTCATTCTTTTCAGTCACCATCTCAAACTGGTAAGAATTTGCTTAAAGTTATAATGTATTGTCAACTGAAGTGAATAAAAACCCCAGTATTACACAATTTAATTTGTACAAATGAATATATATACACATTTTCCCACCTCAGTTGTCTTAGAGGAGTTGAGATTACACAATTTAATTTGTACAAATGAATATCACTACACATTTTCCCACCTCAGCTGTCATAGAGGAGTTGAAGCTAAAGTCAGAACCTTTTATTGCCCACTAGTCTACTGTACAACACTTACTGCTTATCTACAGGCAAATGAGTGTTCTGGGATTCCTGTGTTTCACAGACACAGCTAGTCAGAGAACTAACTTCTACCACCACCTATGCCTTGTTTATAAACCTCTCTTCATCCCTCATCTTATCATTAACTCCAACCACTGGAAAATGTTTTTACCTGAAGGAGAGACTGAGTTGGTCCCTGAGCACATGGATTCGTTTCGGAATCTCACATTACCATAAATGATGTCTGAAGCCATATTGAGAAGAAATCTCTTTTCCAGAATATCAATTTCATGTCTTCTTTAAAACATCTTCTGAATGAAAACCAAATATTGTGGCAAATTGTCCACTTTCAGCTCAGAGCAGAGGCGGAAGCATGGAAGAGACAAGATGTTCTGAGCTAAAGAAACAAAATGCTAAAAACCACAGACAGAGATCCAATCCCTTGGACCAGCATAAACAGAATCATAGGTTGTAAACATCTGCATATATCTCTATGCTAACATAACACCAAAGGGTGGGTGAAAGAAACGGGAAGGATAAGAAAAGAGGAACCAAGTCTTATAGATGTCTTTACTGAGACTGTGTTTTCTTAACTCACCAGCAAAAATAAGATTCATGTGCTTCCACATAAAGAAGTAATTACTTAATGACCAACCAACTCGGCAAAGCTAGTCATCTTCCATTCATTTCATCATTTTTGGTGGATCAGGAAACTTCTTGGAACCACATTCTAAGAGGATCATTGACACAAAACTCACATGACAGTCCCCTACCTCAACTTTCAACAATCAGCTTCCTCTAATGCAGTGGTGACTGCAGAGTGTAAATCTTATGCCTTCTAAAGTTGTTCCTAGGGGCTCTTTGCTTCTCACTGCTGCTGTTAATGAACTCAATTAAGAATCTCTAGTTGGACCAGCAGATGACATAATGGTTACATCACTGGACTCTCATGTAGGTTGACCCCAATTCAAGTCCCAGACCTAGTGACTTAAAACTCATGCCAGGTGAGTGTGTGTGCATGCCCAAGATCCCAAGAGGAGAAGGGAGGAGAGGAGATTGGAGTTTTGCCATCCCCCTGGGGGGTGATTTCTTGCTTTCTGTTTCTCTCCTTCTAGTGAGCACACATGGCCTGGTGAACATAAAGAGATCAGAGAAACAATACAAAGGTTGGCTAAAGTTAGTATTATTCACCCTGCACACAGCCCTTACAACTCCCCTGTGTGGCCAGTAAGGAAGCCAGATGACACTTGGAGAAGGATGGTAGATTACAGAGCATTAGATAAAGGGGCGCCACCCCTGCCTGCTGCTGTCCCTAACACTGCTGCCATTCTCCACCAATGGAAGTCTCAGTTGGGTACTTGCCATTTTGTTGTTGACTTAGCTAATGCCTTTTCCAGCATTGATTCTCATGCAGATTGCCAGGACCAGCTTGCTTTGTTCTGGCAAGGATGGCAGATCACCCTCATGGTGGTATGCTGTGGTAAGCCAGGCTAATAAGGAGGCATTTTCATCTTCCGCCACGGCACCATGAATGCGCTGCCTCTGTGCAGGGTGACTACTTGTAAAGATGTCTTCAACATCCCCGCACTGGAGAGGATTCCACCTGCATCTGCGTCCACACACACAAGAGCCACCATGCCGCTCTCTCACTACCCTTCTGCCTAAATTGTGTCGCCAGCTCCACAGATTTAGCGGCCGTATATGGTTGAGCCATGGTGTGTAGCAATTGTTGGCAAATTCCGAGGGTCAGCCCTTGCAGGTTATGGCTGTAAGATTTAGTGTTGCATACTACAGGTCTATCTCCTGTGCCTTCCTCAGTATCCTCCATTACCTTAATAGGACCCTCTTCCTTTGAGGAGGATCCTCAGTGGGGTCCCACTTTGGGGATTCCAGTCTGACTGTGCTACTGCTGCACAGATTTGCGCTAGTGGCATTTTCTGCCCCTTTACCTTTACACAGTGGCAGGTTAATTCCTATAATTGTTCAGTTATTTGCTCTAGACGACAATTAAGTAGGTGTCTTGCTGGAGCTCTTCCCTTGGGCGTTGTGCCTCTGCACAGGTGGCTAATCCTTGCCCTGTGGCTTAGCAGAGCACAGAGTGGCCACCGAACACAGTGACGACAGCTTTGGCTTTCTTTTCTTTCTGCAGGTTCTCCTTCTCATCAACTGCCCTTAGAAGATCTAGTAGTCCTATAGGCATTGGGGTGGGGGGGTAATCCTGATACTCACGCAGTGGTTCCCACTGTCTAAAAGACTGGTTACCTCATACCACATTGAGGAGGGTGCCCACCCTGGTAGGTTCCCCAGCAATATCCCCTTTTCCTCAGTCTCTCCTGTGGTGACTACAGTGGGGTGCTCTTTGCAATACTGCTGGCTACCTCAAATGTTTCAGGCAGTCTCCAAATCTAGGAGTGCATACTCAGGATGTTTACCAGTTCCCAAGAACACTTGGAAGTCCAGCAGAGAAAGACATGAGTCTACTTACTAAGGAAGCTCCGCCATGGCCAAGTGGAGAAAGGTCCATTCTGTCAGTGAATACAGCTCAGGTTTTATATGCCAAGAATAAAGCATGCATAAATTAAGTAAAGATATCCATTGTTTAAACACCACATCAGCTTATCAACTAATGGAAGCAGAAGGGGTGTGTCTGGGTTTAGTGCCCCTAGTCTTGTGATGGTAACTGTGGGAGGGGTGTGAGGCATATCTCTGGAACAGCCCCAACTACAGGCCGGTTCCATGAGGGGCTCGTGAGGTTCAGTTGGGCCAGGAGCCAGATCTCAGAGGAGTAGAGTGAAGGGGAGAGAAGAGTGCAATGTATGGAGTTTACCCTCAACACCTGGTAAAAAATTATGTAAATAAGTTCCAGTACTGTAGAGAAGCATGATATCAAGCTATAGCCTAGGCAGTGGTGACACAAAAGGATAAAGAAATTATTTCTGCTTGAGCTCATCGGAAAAGGTTCTGAAGTGGATAAAATCTGGATAAGATGATACTATTACACCCATTTTACATATAAGCAAACCGAGGCAAATCAAGAAATAACTTTTTTTTTGCTATAGGGTGCATGCGCTCGCCAGACAGACAGAGAGATAGAAAGTGAGAAATCAACCCCCTGAGGGGATGGCCACACCGCAATCCCTTCTCCTCCATTCTCCTCTCGGGATCTTGGGCATGCATGCACACGCGCCCGGCATGAGTTTAAGTCACCGGGTCCATGACGCGAACCGCGGTCGACTACATGGGAGTCCAGTGACATACCATTACGCTAACTGCTGGTCCCTGTATGTTCCCCATTTCAATATTTATTCGAGTATCATATTAGTGACTAAAGAAAGTATCATTCTGTACTTAATGTTCTGCCTGTCAACATAGAAATAACGACAATTATTTGTTACATTATCAACAAACTTTAGATCAGTACCGTGGAGTAAGGTACAGATTTCATGGATAAAATCCCCCAGACAGCTTTGTGTATTTTTTTAAAATGCTATCACCCAGAACTCCCAGTATTTAAATCAGACTTCCTAAAGGGATCCTGCCCTCTAGTGGCCACATGTTACTATGCAGCCAGATGCAGTATTTCCACAAGGTGCTTCAATGACTTCTTTCCTATTGCAGGTGCAGCGATGGGACACACATAGTAAGAAAAAAGAAAATTTTGAAGAGCAAACCAAAAAATCTATAGTGATGTTTAATGTATTATTTTGTTTAACTGAGAGGGTGCACTATCACTAGATTAATGGGACAGAACATGAGGACACAGTGGATATTCAATTATTTTTCATGGGTTCAGGTGTGGGCAATTGAGTGTAATGGACTTTTTTTGTGTGTGTGTGGGGTTTGCTATAGGGTGTGTGCACTCTCCAGAAAGACAGAGAGAGACAGAGAGACAGAAAGTGAGAAATCACCCCCTAGGGAGGATGGTCATGCCACAATCCCTTCTCCTCTGTTCTCCTATCAGGGCCTTGGGTACGCACACACATGCACCCAGTGTGAGTTTAAGACACCAGGTCGAGGACTCAAACCATGGTCTACTACGTGGGAGTCCAGCAATATAACCATTACACCATCGGCTGATCCCTGTAACAGACTTTATTTTTCGAGAGAGAGATTTTTGCTATAGGGCATGTGCACTGGCCAAAGATACAGAGACAGAGGTACAGAAAGTGAGAAAACATCCTCAGGGGGAGGGTGGCCATGCCACATTCCCTTCTCCTCTATTCCCTTGGGATGTGGGGCAGGCAGTCACATGTACTTGGTGTGAGTTTCAAGCTGCTGGGTCTGGGATTTGAACCATGGTTGCCCATGTGGAAGTCCAGTGATGTAACTATTACACCATCTGCTGATCCCATAAAAGACCTTTTTTAAAAATATATACTATTGAGAAGAGATCTTCATGGCTACAGAAAACTAGTGATTTCAGGGGAATAGGAGAAATGAAGATTTTCCACTGATAATTCAGCCTCCAGCCCACAAACTCATGTGATTGAACTTCAAGTTTGGGAAGAAACACACCATCCATCAGATGACTAGAAATCACTGCAGGACCATAAGAAATATGAGAAAGCAAGAAAATGCCTCTCCTCCAAGGGAAAAGAATAACTCCTCTTCATCCACAGACAGTTCAATGGAAATCATGGAAATGTCTAATAAAGAACTTAGAACATTCATAATGGCAAAGCTTACAGAGATGGAAGAGAAGAGAGACAATGAACTGCAGAAGAGAAAGGAGAAAGGAGCTGATGAGTTCTAGGAGGTGAGGAAATTCTTGCAAGATCTAAAAGAGGAATTACACACTTTACGAAAGAATCAAATGGAACTGTTAGGGATGAAGACTATAATACAGGAAGTCAAAATCTCTCTTGAAAGTATTAAAAGCAGACTAAATTATACAGAAAATAGAATCTCAGATGTAGAAGAAAAAATTGCGGGCCTAGAAAAATCCACCACGAAGACTGAGAAAATTGCCCAAAAATTTGAGAATAATATACGAGAAATACTAGATACCATCAAATGTCCAAACATCCGGTTACTTGGCATCCCAGAAGGTGAAGAGACTCATAAGGGCATTGATAATCTATTCCATGAAATCCTGCAAGAAAACTTTCCAAACTTTGAGAGGCACTCAAAGATCCAGTCCCAAGAAACACAAAGGAGTCCAAGTAGAATCAATCCAAGAAGATCTTCTCCAAGACACATTATAGTCAAACTGACCAAAACCACAAAGACAAGATACTAAGATTGGCAAGAGAGAAACGGCAAGTTACTTACAAAGGATATCCCATCAAACTAACAGCAGACCTCTCATCGGAAACAGTGTGAGCGAGGAAAGAATGGGAAAATATATTCAAAGTGCTAAGGGAAAAACAATTTCAACCAAGAATACTGTACCTGGCAAGATTATCCCTCATATGGGAAGAAAAGACAAGAACATTCTCAGATAAACAAAACCTGAAAGAATTTGCCAGCAACAGACCAGATCTCCAAGAAGTTCTCAAGG